GCGAAATCAATAGAAATGCTATCAATAGATACATTCTTAGGGATCAACTCTTTGTGATGTCTTTAGTATACAACAGAAATAGAGTTAACGACTGTTTTAGTGATGAATTCAAAAGTTGTGAACAATTGACGAGAAAAAGTCGGAAATACTTATTATTATCTATAGTTTGTGCGCGCATTCAAAGTCATACTCATTATTAGGTTTCTTACCTAAGGTTTCAGTTTTGTTAAGTCTTTAAGTTTTTGGTGATAAAAATATACTTATTCTTGAAATGGTTGTCCATTTGTAGGCATTCCTCGTTACATAACTGTATTTAATAAAAATTGCAATGGATTCATGATAGCATACTATTTTTATTTACAGTTACAGTACATGTTAACAGATTCTGTTAAACAGAGTATAAGAGTATTGTATAAAACTTTACATACAATTGACTATTAGATAAAGAAATAGGAAATACTGTAAAGTGTTAAATAAGTCTAAAAACTAATTTCCCATAAAATATATATTCAATTCAATTATAAAATTTAGATTAATTTATACCAAAACACAGAAAACTATAAGAAAAATTCAATTCAAATCGTTTGGCTCCAGAGTTTGGTCCAACTTTTGGTCTGACTTAGACTTTGGATTCTGTGCTCCCATTCCCATTGTATTCACTCACATCTGAAACTAATTTCTGTTTTCAATTACCGTAAGTTTTTTGTTTTAAACGGTAAACTATATTTCAAAAGTCAATCCAAACAAAACGGTTCCTAAAGTTTTCAGACAAACTCTTGACTCAATTATCTCATCGGAAGTAAATGTCGGACACAATAGTGACATCAAGTCTACGGCCAGAGTATAGTCTTCTCACACATACCACTCGTTTGTAATAATAAATCATTTATTATTTATTGTGTAGAAAATAGTATTCAGTGATAAATATCACAAAATCATTTGAAAACTAAAACTGAGTTTTAGTCTTACAATTAAGTGTCGATTCATAGCATTCAATATAAAACATGATTTAAAATCAAATACAAACAGAGAATATATATTACGGTCATAAAAATAGCATAAAACTAATGGCACTGATCGGGGAACTGGAGGTTAGGAACGGGTGTCAGCTTCCAGAGGGGGACATGTCTTCTAACCGCTGACTCCCAGTCTTGAGAGGCTTTCACATCGTTTAAGATACGGAAGACTTGCGGCAAAAACAGGACACACCCTCTCTTCATGCGAGGGCTAACCATATCGTCGATGGGAAACCTGCCGACCCGTAGCCCTTCCCTCCTGGCCTTCAATAGTGNAGATATAATTGTCTTATACTTACCGTACAGTTCGCGATAAGATCGGGCCGTTGGCTACCCCTGAGTGCATATACTCTGTGAAAGCGTTGCCAAAGACCAGGTCTGGAAAGATAATGAGAAGAATATTGGCGAAGATCGCGAGGAATGACCGAGAATTGGGCGACTTATCCACCATTTCGGACGAGTCTATCATCGATGAGCTGATGGCCATTAAGAGTACAAATTGAGTGATGAATAGTTGTCAAGAAATTATGGTTTACTGTTAGTGTAGTTGTCATTAGTTTTATGTTATACTGTAACTTATAAGTGAACAGAATATTCTGTGTATTTAATTACATTATGTGTTTTGTATTTATTTTTTATTATGATTTCTATTAATTAGAGCGAAAAACATATGAACAAAATAAAGTAAATTAAAAACTATTTACACTAGGTATAAATAAACTGATTTATTAAGTTTAAAAGTGATTTTATTTATTGTATTATAACTACAATATAATATAGGAATTGAAGTAAAATTAGATATTTGTTTATGAATTATAAAATTGTTTTTTCTAATCAATAATAATCTACTGAGAAATCCCTATCCGTTTTGGTTGAGCCAAACAAAATGCTACCGAAACCAAAGGTAAACAGTGCGCCCAATATGACCCCCAACGCCAGTAAATACTTATTATACTTATTCTTGAAGTGTTTGTCCATTTCAATGGATTCCTTGTTATATTTGACGGCATTTTCATTCAATAAGAGAATCGTTTCGTCCAATACTTTGATATTGTCTTTTCGAACCTTACTTAACGGAATATTCTTGTCCACCAATTGTTTGTTTAGTTTTTGCGATTTTATTGTCAAGTCTTTTACCATTTCTTTGTCAAAGATTTGTAAAATAATTTATATTTTCAAGTATTTCTGTCACAAATATGACTGTTATTTAGTTCAACAAAAATTAACGATTTAGAAATAATTTACAATATTTCAAAACTAGTATGAAATGGGAAAATGTATAATATTATAGATTCTCGTGTGTATTGTATTGTTTTCTATGATTAAAAATATTTGTTCATTACTTTATACAGTAAAATAAACATTTTTATTTATGTTTTTATATAATTAATAAAACTATACATAAATTTACACTTTTATAAAGAGTACAGATAACAAAAAATAATAAATAAATGAAAACTATGTTAACATAAAATGTATATTCAATTGAAGCATAAAATTTAGAAGAATTTATACAATAAAATACATAAGAATTAGAAAAATTCAAAACACATCACAAAACAAATCATTTGTAAGAATCGGTGTTTTGTTTAGAGTTCGGTAACGTCTGGTTCGGCGGACTTAGGCCTTAGTGTCGGCGCCGGCGGTGTCCGACTCTTTCTTCGCATCCTTGCCCTCATCTGACGGCGGCTTATCAGTCGACGCCTCCTTTGTGTCCGCTTTCGGATCCAACTTCTCTTTAGAGTCAGCTTTTGCATCCTTGCCCTCACCTGAAGCAGGTTTACCATAATTACAACCCTAATTACAATCATAGGACAGACAGTAGTCTTACCGCCGATTCTGTTCTCTTCCGACGGTTTGCGCGCACTTTGACTCTTGTCTGCGGCCGACATAAAGTACCTATAAATGGGAGCAAAAGACAAATGAATCCATCGTTTAGAGCAATCGTCGACTCGTATGACAACCCATTGCTTACTACAAAAACATGACAACCCCTCCGACACAGATGATCACCACAATGACTATAATGATAATAAAGGCCATCGATTTACCACCCGAGGGCTTAGTCTGTGGGGACTTCGTTGATGTGGGTGGTGGAACAGGTGGAGCACCGGGAGGTAAGGTACCGGGCGTTGGAGCTTCGGGGGGTGAAGGCTCGACAGTGATCGTGTCATTTGGATTTGTAGGCGGCCCTCCATTATCACCTCCAGTATCATTACCTGGGTTCACGGGATCCTCTGAAGCTCCAGGAGGTAAATCCGCTTCACCGGGAGGCGGATTGTCAGGGTTCGCACCGGGATCAGGAGTGGCATCAGGAGCCCCCTGTGTTTGTTGTAGAGCCACGTCCTCCTCATTGCCCGACTCCTACACCAATAGATTTTCAATTATTAGTATTCATGGTATTCAGTCAATTAGTGGACATACATCTGGATTCTGGTGGTGCGAGTGTCGGGTCTTAGCGTTCATGACATTCATGTCCAGCTCTATATCACCGATCCTTTTGGCCGACTTTGACACCAAATCCACCGATACGTCTGTCAATACCCGGCCGTCGCCTCCCATCGGATTGTTTTTCTACTCAAATGGTTATCACAAGAAATATGAGATAATATGCACTCAGATGTCGATCCTATGCTCACATCTCCCTCGACGTCAACCTCTGGAGCCTTTTGACCCTTTCNTTGCCTCCCATCGGATTGTTTTTCTACTCAAATGGTTATCACAAGAAATATGAGATAATATGCACTCAGATGTCGATCCTATGCTCACATCTCCCTCGACGTCAACCTCTGGAGCCTTTTGACCCTTTCGTGGGATCTGTTCGTCCACTTCGACGTCAAACTCCAAGTCTCCGATCCGTTGAGGCGTTCCCATCACATCCATAGGCGCCGAAGATATGACATCGAGGGCCGAGAATATGGCCTCATAGTCGATGGTTGAGCCGCCATTGTCTCCCTCATCGGCACCGGGAGTCTCGTCTTTGTCGCCAATACCGGACTCGTCTTTACTATCAACAGCTGGTGGTCCGCCTCTGGAGTCAGCACTTGATCCCACTTTGCCATCAATAGTGAGAATCTGTGGCGAAATCAATAGAAATGCTATCAATAGATACATTCTTAGGGATCAACTCTTTGTGATGTCTTTAGTATACAACAGAAATAGAGTTAACGACTGTTTTAGTGATGAATTCAAAAGTTGTGAACAATTCACGAGAAAAAGTCGGAAATACTTATTATTATCTATAGTTTGTGCGCGCATTCAAAGTCATACTAATTATTAGGTTTCATATAAGGTATCAGTTTTGATATAAGTCTTTAAGTTTTTGGTGATTAAAATATACTTATTCTTGAAATGGTTGTCCATTTGTAGGCATTCCTCGTCACATAACTGTATTTAATAAAAATTGCAATGGATTCATGACAGCATACTATTTTTATTTACAGTTACAGTACATGTTAACAGATTCTGTTAAACAGAGTATAAGAGTATAAAACTTTATATACAATTGACTATTAGATAAAGAAATAGGAAATACTGTAAAGTGTTAAATAAGTCTAAAAACTAATTTCCCATAAAATATATATTCAATTCAATTATAAAATTTAGATTGATTTATACGAAAACACCGAAAACTATAAGAAAAATTCAATTCAAATCGTTTGGCTCCAGAATTTGGTCCAACTTTTGGTATGACTTAGACTTAGGATTCTGTGCTCCTATTCCCATTGTATTCACTCACATCTGAAACTAATTTCTGTTTCCAATGAATTTTTTTGTTTTAAACGGTAAACTATATTTCAAAAGTCAATCCAAACAAAACGGTTCCCAAAAGTTTTCGGACAAACTCTTGACTCAATTATCTCATCGGAAGTAAATGTCGGACACAATAGTAGACGAAACCAAAAGACGGGAATACGAGCCCCTATTCGGGCGGGAAATCGTGTCAAGTCTACGGCCAGAGTATAGCCTTTTCTCACACATACCACTCGTTTGTAATAATAAATCATTTATTATTTATTGTGTAGAAAATAGTATTCAGTGATAAATATCACAAAACCATTTGATAACTCAAACTGAGTTTCAGTCTTACAATTAAGTGTCGATTCATAGCATTCAATATAAAACATGATTTAAAATCAAATACAAACAGAGAATATATATTACGGTCATAAAAATAGCATAAAACTAATGACACTGATCGGGGAACTGGAGGTTAGGAACGGGTGTCAGCTTCCAGAGGGGGACATGTCTTCTAACCGCTGACTCCCAGTCTTGAGAGGCTTTGACATCGTTTAAGATACGGAAGACTTGCGGCAAAAACAGGACACACCCTCTCTTCATGCGAGGGCTAACCATATCGTCGATGGGAAACCTGCCGACCCGTAGCCCTTCCCTCCTGGCCTTCAATAGTG